GAGAACATGAAGCCGGACCAGCCAATCCAACTTCCCAAAAACGTGTTTATCCAGCTGTCCCTGGATGTGCCCTGTGACAGTGAGAACCAGCGGATGTGGTGGGCTTTCCTCGCCTCCTCCATGGTCACTTTCTTTGGTGGTCTTTTCATAATCCTCTTGTGGAGAACTCTCAAATATCTATGGACCGTGTGCTGCCACTGTAAAGCCAAAAAGAAGGTACGTCCTCTGAAGCACAACTCCCCAGGGAAATATATCACTGGGCATTATTGTTTGACAGCCAGTGCGTGACAACAGCGTGTCCGGCCAGTTTGATTTAGGAAATGGGCTTGTAATTAAATCAGTGCCGAGGCCTCATCTACAGAGAAACAGAGTGCCCAACTCTGAATATGAACTCGGCTTTTCTCAGCTTAACGTGACGCGTATATAGTCAAGTTGAGAGATATACAGCTGGAGCAATGCTGCTCTTGAGCCTCTTCTGAGTTAGTTTTTTTGGGCAGCTGTTGAAGGGCCACTTTCTGTTACCTTGATCTGTGAAATGGCTTTCTAAAATAGTGAAGGTGAATCTGGGGTTTGTGCTGTTCTAAAGAAAAATAGGATTCTTAGCAGTTTGTCCCTCAATAAATTGAGTTCGGTTCCTTCTGGAGACCTTTTTCAGGACCCTTACAGCAGTCATTCTGTTTCTCTTTAAAAAAAAAATCACAGATAAAACATAAAGTACATTCAACGTTGAAAAAATGAAAAGAAAAGCAGTATTTCTTTATTCTAGATGATACATTGAAAAATTCTGGAGTTAGGATTGAATTTGGCTAATGCTATTATCCACTGTCTATGACCCATAACTTTATTTTCTCCTCTTACCGTGTTGGGGAAGGTGTAAATGCTACTTGAATATGTAAGATCCATCTCCTCCAGCTGTTTTCTTATAGTTTGGTCACAGAAAATGACTTAAGTTTCTACCCATTTGTTGTCTCACCATTTTTTTTGTGCATTTTTCTGTGTTTTTCTTTTAACGAAAAATTGGTCTCCATGTTGTTCTCAAGGCTGAAACAAGGAATGTTTTATGTCACACATTTAATTACCAAGCAGCAGTTTCTAATCCTTTCCATTGTTTCCTCAGTAATTTTATTAATTTGATTTACGTGTGTTTGATTAATCAACTAAGTCAACACCGTGATTTATACCTCTGGTTGTTATTGTGTATTTGCTTTGGAGTTAAGAAATGACATTTATGTGTGGATAAAAATGACTTTTTGGGAAGCCATTTTGCTGCCGCTGAATATTTATATATATATTTATTTAGATAATTTGTAAAGTCAAAGTAAAGTCAAATCTTGTTTAAGGTTGTTTCATTGGAGTGAAGGTTAGAGTTTGAGTCAACTTTGACAAATTGAGACTAAAGTTCAGCCAGGATTGTAATTTTTCTCTAGATCATTTTTTCATTTTTATATTCGCATCAACATTGTCTGAGGTGCGTATTAACTGCTCTCTGACATAAGAAACCTGATAGCTTATGTGTTAGATGTCTTTACCTTTTTTCATAATAGAGGATCTCTTGATATTATTGTGCAGTTGAAGCTAAATCACAAGTTCTTACTCCTTTCTCTGGGCTCCGGAAATGTAGCACTATGTCTGGGAAACAAACATGAAAGACGTGACAAACGCTGCAGGCCGGTACTGGCCCTTTCTGAGCAAACTGGCTATAAATAACAATTCAGATGGCCTTAATCAGTTATTATTCTGCCAATTTATGGAATATCTAGTCGTGAATTAACCAGAGAGCTGTTAAAATGCCAATCTGGAGATCAATAGTTGTTCAGTATTTGTGAAACAAAGGAGTCAGTGAGTCCTCCAATATCCACAGCAGGAACCAACATGTGTGTGTGTGTGTGTGTGTGTGTGTGTGTGTGTGTGTGTGTGTGT